AGATAGTCATGATCAAGAAACAATGAGTTCAATTATAAGGTTCATTGACGATCGTATTTCAAAAAATGAATGACGAGATTTGTGTAATTCATTCACAAGGTGGATTTCGCTCTATTCAACAAATAAATTCTTATAGTAAATATATACACAATTCTCGACATTATCTTTATATTCTATGTATATCCATCAGAGATTGCATTTCCCTTTTTTTTGTCAAAATACGATAATTTAATGGAATAGGCTTTAATTTGTTCTTGAAATTTCACATAACCTATTTTCAAACATCGATCCGAATATGTTTTTAAATGTTTTTTCAGATATTATTTATCATCCTCATTGGTTACTCTTCAAACATAATATTTATTAAACAAATTCTCTTTCGAGCACCGTATCCACCTCAATATTCATTAACATCGCACAAAAATAAACTTTTCTGGCTGTCAGCTACTCAAGGAAAGTTGGCAGCATCGCAAATACCCTGTATGCTCTATTCACCAATACATGAAGCGAATTTTTTTATCATCTGGTGTCATGGTAAAGGTGATGACATTGGTAGTATAGGCATGGCTATGAACGCATTAAGTCAACGAATTCAAGCACACGTTATGGCTTTTGAATATCCTTCTTATGGTCTATGTAAGGGACCAATAGACCCTACTGAAGAGACAATCAATAATCATGCCGAACGTGCGTATTTGTTTGCACGCGATATACTTCGATGGCCACCGAATCGAATTCTTGTCTATGGACATTCAATGGGAAGTGGTCCCGCATGTCATCTTGCTGCTACAAAAGTAGTCGGTGGACTCATTCTAAAATCGCCTTATAAATCTTTAAGTAATCTGATTCAAGAAAAAATCTGGATATTTTCAAAGCTTTTAAGTAGTCCAAATTGGAATAATCTGGAAGCTATGAAACATATTCGATGTCCGATACTCATTATACATGGGCAACGTGACTCTATGATTCCTTTCTATCATTCACAAACCTTGTACAATTCACTAAATCATAATGAGAAAAAACGATTAGTCTCATTACCAAATGATGATCACAGTTCGATACCTGATTCGATATTTTATATGCATGTGGAACTATTTGTTAGGGAATATTTTCCATCGACCACAGAACCCATGGCGCAAGTCGAAATTCCATCAGCTTTATTTCATCCGCCACCAATGATTTAACCACCGGCACACTCGGAATTAATCACATTTCTCTTGTAGTGTACGAACGAAAGTAAATTATGCTCATTTCTATTTTCGTAGTCTAGATTTTTGATTTCTTTTAAAATTCTATTTTTTATCAACACTTTGATATTGATATCATATTTTTTATTGCTACATTGAAATAAATGTTTTGTATCTATTAATTCATATCGATAATATTTGCAACAATTGATTTTAGTTCTCTGAATTTTTGATTGAGAGAGAGAGAGAACAAAAATAAGCTAAGAGCATGGAATTTATTTTATGTTTCAAAATTGTCCTAAGAATTAAAATTTTGTGAATGTTTCATCAGACATATAGATGTTCTTCTCGTTGATAGTTACGTAAAACATTGATCTGATTGATGAAAAATTTACAAAGATAACAACGATAGATAGAAGAGTATTTTGTCAACTATCTGTTTTTTTTCCTTCATTCGAATTAGTTGATAAGAAAATTTTACACGTGCATTCGAAAAATTTTGGGTGTGGGTGTGAATGGTTGCCTAACTTTCACACACACCCACACCCCAAGTTATTTTAAAAATGCCCATTGTCGAAAAAATCGAAAAACAACAAAAAAATAATAAAACACTCACACAGAAATACATAGATGGTGGCCTAAAAAACCGTATTACAGACAGACAATTTTGGTTTTTATTTCATTTTCTAGACCACAGACTTCTCAGTTTATTAAAAAATGAAGTTGACCTTCGTTCCAATAGAATGCAGAAGAGACACCAATATACAAAACTTAAATGTATAGCGAAGATAGTTGGTCAGCTGACATTAATGAAAAGCATTATCAAGTCAAAACCAATGGCAATATTACTGAAAACAATGAACCATAAGCCATAAACAAATATGAAGAGATTTATGACTCAGATGTAAAGCAGGATGATAATACAGTTACTCCATTTGCAATTAATACGACAAACAACTAGGAGAAAAAGCAATATATGAAAGCTATAACTGAATATAGACAACGGAAGCAAACTTAAGGCGTATTTCTTGAAAGTGTACAAGGCGGAAAGGTATAGACTATGAAAGTAGCAGTGTAGACTAGTATTATACCATAAGTCCCCAAGAACATTAGTGTTAGAAAATTGTGATATATAATATGCCGTAACCGACACCAAAAATATTCACAACGCGGTAGTCGAGGAATATAGCAAATTGATTGTGTTGGCTATTAAAATCAAGCAGAGATGAGAATAGTTGTAACATCGTGAAAGATTTACCTGTTCTTCGATCCAATACACGAACAATTCGAGATATAAACGTACCGTTCGTCAACCAGCGTGAACCATCTACAACCATATTAGGGTTGTGAAATAAATGATTTTCAGCTGTATAGAATGAAAGATCTAATTAAAATGATCCACTTGATAGATGTTTACATTCATCTATCCAATGATCAATATGTATTACTGAAGTCTGATCGAATACATATAATTGTTTCACGTGCGTAAATATACGACATAGCTGTTTAATACAAGAGATATTTCCGAAAACAGAGAAGACCTCAGACCGACCAATTAGTTGAAGTGATTGAACTTGTTCAATTGGTTGTATGTCTTGGATTCTTCGAAGACAAACCAACTCTAGATTTCGATCCAAAACGATGTTTGAAATGGGGCAATCATTAATTCGACATCATTAGAAGGATAGATTCGTTCTGCACGTTTCATATAGAATAATTCGAATCGATTGAGTTGAGATATGTTGGTTTCAACCAGTTGTTCCCATCAAACTACATCGAGCATAGACTCGATCGAATCTCCAACTGCACGAGTGAAAAAAGTTGTGCAAGTTCGTCCATTTTTATATTAGTCTGTCGAATTGTCCGAGAGATCACTTGTTGATTAGGTATTACAATGGCGGATGAAAATACATGCTAAGCCACGTTGGCCATCATAAAATCTTTCAATACGATGTACATAGATTAGACCATTGAGAAAAAACGTTGAACAATTCTACTGTCGAAGGACGCGCCAATGTCAAATATCTAAGTTTGCATTCAACAGACCAGGACAGTTTGTTTATCGGACATATCTCTATACTCCATTGTAGCTTGTTCAAAAGAGGGCATTGCACAATGATGAACGAGAGAAGCGCCTGTGTTCGACAAAGTTCAGAAAATTGGGCACAAAATGATCACCAAAATGATAAGCGAACAGATAATGATTTTTTCTAAAATTATCTTCAATTCCTTCTTAGGTGCTGGATGTGGGTGCGAACATGGGTGATTCACGTTCCACTACCCAAACCTCATAAATGATCATTTTTGTCACTGAAAATAGGAGCATATGATCGGTTATGTCTTTACACATTTCATCTTTCGTTACCAACGATTAAGAATAAAGTTCAAGGTGGATAATATTTTCTTCAGCTGTTTCGTCTGCTAGGACGTGAGTCTGGCTCTGGGTCTGAGGTATGGTTAACTATCTCATCTTTATCATAACCCACACCCACATCCTGCAAACTTTGAAGAATTAGACATAAGCGAAGACTTAGGGTATCCTACATCGGAAAGAATTTTATTATTTGAGGATTATTATTTAGACATACTACTAGCAAATTAATTATATCAATTATTAACATGAATCAAACAGTTTTTTTTTCGGTATTCTTAAAGAGTAAAGGTCTTTAGTTTCACTATGCTTTTCATTTTGATAATGAATTTCTAAAACCCAAGAGTTGTAGTTTTAGATTAGAAGTAAGTAATATCTGGTATCCGCTCTCGATATTTTCTAATCTGGTATGTCCATGGGAAGTCGCCAGTCGATACAGCGACCTCTTCCAAATTCAATGAAACTTTCAGAGTTTGTAGAGTTTTTTTGTTGATCATTTTGGTAATAAGTTTTTTAGGATTCGACCCTGTTTTCGGTGAGATACGGGTGAAATATGATTTTCACATTTTTGCAAAAAAAAAGTTGCAGTAGTATCGAAAAATTGACTTTACGTCATCATTAGTCGCTCGAATCATTAAACCAATGACATATTCTGATTCCTCGTCAAAAACTGCATCAGAATCTTTAGGAATTAGAACATTTTTTTCAACTTTTTGCGACCCTTTTCTTCGCTGTACTCATGGAAAGTGTATGAAAAATTCGATCAGAAAATTGGAATGAACCAGAATAGTGACTTAGGCAGTTTGATAGAGCAGAACTTGCTCTACAACATGCACTAGTTTGTTTCCTCCCCAACTGTAATCTTGGATGGAAGGAACGTTAAAAGTATTTTATACTAGAATTATCCAATGAATTTTGATGGATATAGTCGTAAGATTAAAATGAATCGTTTCAGAAACTAGCTCAAAACTCACCATCATCATCAAGGCTTTGTAAGGGTTGTTACATCGATGATTTTTATGCTAGATTATGCAGTAGTGAACCCTATTTTGATCATAATACTGGCTAAATAATATCAATATATCAGCTGTGTTTTTGTTTATTATGTATAAAAATGATCCATTTTTCTGAAGATGAGGGTGTGGGTGTGGGTGGTGCGGGTGTGATTGTGGGTGGGTGTGGGTGTGGATGAATGGGCGTGGATGAAGACAAGATCTATACCCACACTCACACTCACACCCACACCCACACCCACACCCAAAATAGTGATCTGATGCGAGTGTGGGTGTTCTATCTCCGAGCCACATCCGCACCCACACCCGCTCTACTGGGATGGTCGCTGGTCGGGCGCACGCGAATAGAATAACTATTCTTTGCATCAATTCAACGTGATTTATTTGAAGCAAAGGAAAGGAAAAAAATAATAATTCATTGTAACGAGTCTATCCGATAGAAAAATGTTGAATACGATGATTGAAATAATCGACGACGTAGAGATTGCCATGTCGATCTAAGAACAAACCCATGGGAGCGTTGAACTGATTAGCTCGTGCTCCTTTACCATTTCCACCCGCAATGATAGTGCCTTGTTTTGCTCCTTGAGGCCATCGCATCACTCGATCATTCACGGTGTCTGCCACATAGATGGTACCCAATGTATCGACGAACAGTCCTTGAGGAGATGTTAATTGTGTCAGAGTGGTCCCTGCGCCTTGGCCTCCAGCGACGATAATTCCTTCTTTTGCACCTTTGTTCCATTTCATCACACGATGATTGTTGTTATCCGTCACGTAGACAGTCTGTTGTTGATCGACAAAGATGTAGCTCGGACTGTGGAATTGATTGAGACCAGTACCTTGGCCATTGCCACCAGCCACAAGAGTACCATTCTTATCTCCTATCCGATATCGTCTTACTTCATGTTTGTCGATTTCAGAGATGTATAGATATCTCTGATCATCCATGGCCAATCCCCCACACCAGATGTTGTCGATGAAGGTTTCTCCTTGAGTTGTACCACTACGACGAGACCATCGTACAACTCGTCGATTAAGTTGGTCACAGATAATAAGATTATCCGTCTCTTTGTCGATCAACGCATTTTTTGGATAATTCAATTGATTTAATCGATTTCCTTCGCCATGGCCGCCAGCTACGACTTGTCCATTCGTATCACCCATCTTCCATTGGACGATACGATGATTGTACCCATCAGCAATGATCATCGTTTGATCATCATCAATAAAAAGACCTTCAGGGCCGTAGAGTTGATTGATGGCATTGCCATATCCACGGCCTCCAGCAACGGTTATCCCGTTCTGTGCCCATCGGGCGTTGATAGGAATATTAGGAATCACTACAATAAACAAAAAAGAAAAGGAACCATCATTGTTGAAGAGATCCCTCTCTCTCCATCACAGGGAAGAAAGTACTACAAATGAGACGTTCTTCTTCTTCTTCGAGAGAGAGAGAGAAAACTTGGTAAAACTTTCGAGAATATTCTTCTCTCACAGACTCTAAACAAGAAAAGGGTCTCCAGATAGATAGAAATTCGGAAGCTTTTCCCTAGTTTCCTATAAGAAAAAAATGACTTCGTAACGATTTTTATAGGTATGTCATTTCCCCTCAATCTCAATCTTGTTCATTCCTTGAGAAACTCAGGTAGGATTTATAACAAACTGTATTTGCGGGAACTTGTTTAAGTTCTTGCCAAGATCTTTCAAATCCTAAAAAGTACAATTTTCGCGGAGGATGAAAGCTGTACCTGAAGAAAGATCAATACTAATCTTCTGGAGGATCTCGATCGGAAAACATAGGGATCTGAGTGTGTGGGTGTGGATGTGGATGTGTTTTATTGGATTCTTGCCCGTTTATTTCAAGCTATTCGAAGGACGACCGTAATGTGGTCTTAGCAAGATCATAGGAAAGTTTCTGATGCATACGAAACTAAGGAAACTTGATAAGATTCCAGCTGGAAATCTGGAGAAAGCTGATGCGAAATATTGAAACTAATATGGATGTCGGTGTGTTGATTTATATCTAGTAAGTGACATGAGTGAAAGGCACATAACAATTAAAACTGCCCTGGACCTATTCTAACGATTGTCATGAATGATCAAGTAATCAGTCTTTGACTAATATCATGTCATTTGACAATGAAATGTGTACTCTCTCTCTCTCTCTCAGAAACTTAAAAAAACTCTGTAATCTGTATAGCCGAAACTATGGATGAAATGCTTCAAAAAGAAAACGATGTCCAACAGAATTGGGACATCTGACTTTAAGATTATCTGAAGTCAGGTGAAGATGAGAATGAGAAGGTGCTTAGAATAAAGTGCATTCTTATAGCATTTGAAGTCAAATTTTTTTTAATATTAAAATAAAGCATTCCTTGTTAAAAGGCAGCATATTTAGTAGTATCAAATGAAGAGGAAAAATGGATTTCGTTCTATAGCTGTCAACAAAACGAATCAAATTTCGATGGTGATGGGAAATATCTAAGATGGGAATTACTATGACTTAGTTTTTTCTTATGATAAAGAGTGAGTCACTCATAATATAAGATCGCTGATCTTGTCAATGTTATCTTCAGCTAGCTGCAGATTAATATTGTACACAAAGCAACTACATATACTTGATTAAAAATTAGTATTTATCAAGGTCAAAAAACGTTAATCTAATACTTACCCAGCTGCTGAGTACTAGTTGTCACTGTAGTTGGAATTGCAGTTGTAGTGTCCGTCACTATTCATCATCATAGAAAATTTGTATAAAAAAAGCAGATAGTTTTAGATCTGACATAGATTGTAATATAGAACTCGGTGTACTTGAGTTTTAGATGAAGACAAGGCAGTGTTTCAAAATAGAGCGACGATCTCAAATTGTCTGACAATGATTTTTTTCTTTCAAAACTGATTTTTGATGTAAAACCTTTATGTTCATTGGAGACCTGAAAACTCAGTAAAATTTTCGACAATTCCATTCGATGTGATGCGGCTGAATCAAATCAAATCAAATCGCATTGAGTTGAACCGAATCTGTTGCAGTACGAGATTGTTATTCAAAGTATGAAGTTTGTAACTTCAACCTCTCAGATAAATTGTCCATCTGCTAGTGTGTTTATCTCAGATCATTAGAATATTCTGCCGTCATATCAGCAGTATGAGTAAAATGGTTTTAAAGGAATATTCGAAAGAACAGAATAATAATATAGAGATAATTGGTTACGAGCTCTCTCTCTCTCTCGTCCCTCTCGTTGTTGGACAGTTTGAATATTGACATTCTTCTCATAAGAAAGAAACCTCAAATATCTGAAACAAGCAAGGATAGCCTCCAAAATAATTAGCCGTACCAAGAATAGTCCGCCAATATGTATTCTGCGCTTATTAGTATTTTACTGAGGCGACTGAGTCAGTGGCTCTACAAGCCGTGAAATATAATTTACATACACAATTGTGTTACTGATCATTAGTGGCATATTTATCCCATGCAATCGCTAAAGCTCTGTTGAGCTCTAGCGGTTACTGCGTCACAACTAAATGATCAATCTTCAATTTTGCACGGTTAGTCATTAGAAACTTCTTTAGAGCTAGACGTCAATCACAGTTGTTTTCGAAAAAGGCTGTCGAGTGAACGCAATATTCACAAGAATCCATCGAGTATACAACGAAAACTGGGAATAAAGAGAAGAGTGGCACAAAAGAATTGATGTACTCCTATAGAGATCCAACTATATGACACGTTCTGTAGGATCGAATCGAATTGAGTCGAATGATCACTTGTTCAATTTGTTTTCGTCTCTGATATACATTCAAAAATTCACTGCGTCTTCATACATTGCTAGATTTAACGGCACTAGCAATAATTACAATTCATTTTATCTCTGCCGTGCTTTATCTACTTTTTAAAAGTTTCTTCGACTCTTGTCCACCGTTCCTACACCAACATGAATTACATATGTGAGAGTGTATATGAACGATGGAGAAATAACTTTAAGAAAGATTTGAGTTCCATTTAAATGTGTAGATCATTGTTTCTTTTCTTACTCGTTATCGGTGGACAGATTTGTTGACCGATCATCGACACTGGATAACAGACAGGAAGATTATGACATCGAGGATGATGAACACATATATGGTTAGATCCGTGACAATGGTTGTTTGTACGATTGCATGCAACTAATTCAGAACAAGTCACAAACTGAAACCCACAAACACCAATGTTATCAGCACCTTCCATATGGAAACAGGCACATGCACTATTCAGCGAACATCGATCATATTGAGACATTCCATTGCATATTTGAGATTTGACTTGAACTACCGACATACAAAATTAATAGCAAAAAATAGAAAACAAAACAAGAACCAAACCTGTCAGGCTTAAAAAGAAGATTGTTCAACATTAGATGATTAAGAAAAAATACATTTTAGAATTACCTGAATAGAACGAATACGAAACAATGAATTACTGTTGAAACCATCACTTGCCTTGAAATGAGACGGAATAGTGATGGCACTCATATTTATATCTAATGAAAAGGTAGTGCTTTTTGCACTCACCAAAGGTAAAAAAAAAGTGCACGACACAATCTTTCGATAAATAGAAACCCGATATTGTTCTACTGCTTTCTTAAGCACTTAATTTTTGTCTGAACAACTAATCTTTATAGAAGAAAAAAAGCGTCATAAAAACAACATGAGATTGCTTTTGCAATATAAGCACTTGATGGGCTCGTGCCATCATTCGAAACATGAATATTATTATTGTCAATCATCGACTCACTATGTAACAACGACTTAGAACGCCTTCAAAGACAAATTTTGTTTTTAATATTTGTATTTTTATTATAAGAAGCTTACAGAAGTTCGCATTTTGATCAAATCAAAGTCACAATCTATAGGAAGCCACATTCATTTGTACTTTGGGCTGTGTCTTCACTCACTTCAAGGATTTGAATGTTCGACTTTAATCTCCAAATCTCATTTTTGACATAAAAATGTCCAGTTTAAGAAGAGATCTTCTATGAAAATAGTGGCATGGATACGAGTGTGGCCAAGGCTGGGATCGTTCGCAAGCAAATAAGCTATTTCTACGGTGAATTAGATTTCAGCTTGCTCTACAAAAACTTTTTCTGGTGATTTGCGCCCTTTCTGCGAAGGATTGTCAATCACAACACTTTTCGAAAACGATCTCTCTAGCAAAATGCTCATGCTTAATCGGTCCAGTCATATTTGACTTTAGATCGCAGAGTCATTCGTTCGCTCTCAAGTGAATGATGTCCAATTTTTTTCTCAGCATCCTCTTTTGAAATTAGAGATTTGACTAGAGAAATCTTCTTTTAATCTCGTCATCATCATTCTTGTTGTTATCATTGACTATCAAACAAAGTCGGATCGAAGATGTATGTTGGTGTGAGATGATACGGATGTACCTACTGTTGTAGATGTCTGAGTGTTGGCGTGGGTGAAGAGTTTTGTATACATCCATGTCCGTATGATAGCGAGAATCACTCTACTGAAGCTTTTGTCGTTATTTAAAGAGACGAGTAAGTATTCTGAAGCTATCCTGAGCCGTTGACACCATGTTTTGTTGACTGAATATTTCACTGTCCATTCTAAATATTTTTCTGCGACGAGTAAACGTTCGCCTCCACATATAGACATTCGTCGAAAGGTTAAGCTTATTGACTTAACGTGCATCCATTGCAGTCATTGAACGCTTTTCACGATACTCACTCAGAATAATGGCAGACTTCTGACGATTTTTTACTTTTTCTCTCAACGATTCTAGAGAGGTCAAAAGGGTGTGGGTGTGGAATTTGGATGTAGTTCAAATCAAGTGTCACACCCACCCTTGTTAGAACGAGTACTAAGATTGCGGTTGTGGGTAAGTAGAAATATGTACATATCACCTTTGTAGGCATTCACAACCGCAGTATTAATATGTTGAAATAATATAAATATCATTAAAAATATTACAGAGTTTTCTTTCGGCCATGGTTTAGTTATCAGTTGACTAATTAGTTGGTTCATACGAGCTCTCTCACTTTATTTTTGAGGACTCTCGATTCATAGAAGAAAAGTCTTTAGTAGTTAGAGTGGATGTTGACTATCTTCAACATCGTATTACCAACAAGTTTGTATCATAAAGCGAGTTAACTGATATGCCGAAAGTTCTGTCAACTTCTTACAAGACAAAGTTCAAATGTTGCATAACTGCCCCTACTTTCTGATATAGAACGGTGTGGGTGTGGGTGTGACACTTGATTTGAACTATATCCAGACCCCACACCCAAAGTCTTCTGAGTCCAGACTAGGGTTGTCGCTATATTTTTATAATGGAAGAAGTTGACAATTCAAAGATAGTGATTTCATTTTTCTAATGGAAGAAGTAATGACTAGTGTTGTGGGAAAAAATGAAGCTCACTGGGACTCAACTTCTCGTACAGCAGACGATCTGTGACCAGACCAATTCTCTCTTTCGGAGCCTGATTTTATTATATTCGTCTCGCAAGAACCTTTTCTGCTTATTTTTATGTCAGTTTCTACCAGAAGGAAGCACACGGTGTTTCGAAAAAGAGGTTCTGTCTTATTCCAGGTCAAGGATCGTTTGTCCTGGGAAGTTATCGCAAAGCTGTAAGAAGCTGCAGAAAATCGGACATTTTAAGAGAAAAGCCTTCTTCCATCCCTTCTTCTAATCAAAAATTCTGGACTGGAGGGAAAGTGAAGAAAACAGAAGTCAAAAAAGCAATAGTAAAAGAGCATCTTTTATTGTTGTAAATATTTCGTATACACTAAAAATATAAAACTTGTTTAATAAATTTACTTTTTTAACGTTTAATGTTTTCCTCGATAAGGAGAAGAAATAGAACATTGAGTAATGATTATTATTTTCTTGTATACTTTATGACCCCCTTATACTGCAAAAAAACATCGACGACGAAATATGACAAAGTCTATAAACAATAAAAGAAAACTATTTTGTTTATGACGACGTAAATAGATTAATTTCACTTAAGCTTTTTCTTTGCCATATATATGCAAAACTAAAAACAAATACAAGTATAAAATTAAGATACATTACAAATAAGGTATAAACAAACTTCATCAAATAAAATATATCCACCATGATTAGTATCAATACGATTGAATTCTTGTCTCAGGCTCTTTTCATCTGTACTTGAATAACGAATAAGTTCAAATCCTTTTTTAAATTCATTAAAACTTATTCTTTTATCTTTATTTGTATCTAATTGTTCAAATAGATCACTTAATTGATTATAATAATATAATAAGTCAAGAAAACGATGAAATTCTTTAAATTCAATGAATCTGGTCTACAAATGAAAGGTAAATTTTATCTAAAAAAAAAGCCAATAATTAAAATATGAGACGTACACCATTAGTATCAGCTGCCTTAAAAGCACGAAGCATCGCTTGACGATTAGTGCCAAATTCAGAATACCAATATATAATAGCTCGATCAATTTTAGCCAATGATAGCATTCCATTACCATTATCAAATTGTCGAAATAACTATATTTAATAAACTATTTTTTTTTGATAACTTGAATGAAGAAATTTATGATTAGACGTACTCTTCTACATTCATCTTTGGTTAAACGCTGAGCCATAGTTGTTGTATTACAAGACAATTTACATGATTTATTAAATATTACGTCTGCATGAGAGAAATGAAAGTCAGTGTTGCTTTCCTCTTACTTTTTTTTTCTTCCTTCGTTGTCTTATCTGTTTACTGAGTTAAGGCTTATTCTTGGGTGCGGATGGGTATGAGTGTGAGCGTAGGTGTGGGTTTCGTTGGGTGTGGGATGTGGGTGTGACTATAGGTATGAGTCTAGTTTTCCCACTTACCAACGCCCACACCCCACACCCAGTGCGTTTGGAGGCTGTTTCAATCCCAGACGCATTTAAACGCGTCAAAAATGTGTTTTGGGGTGTGGGTGTGGGGTGTGGTGGAATGTTGGTGTGAGAGTGTGGGTGTGGAGAAAGAGAACACCCCCACCCATCCCACACTCACACCCACACCCACACCCACACCTACACCCACACCCACACCCACACCCACACCTACACCCACACCCACACCCACACCCACACCCACACCCAGCCACACCCACACCCACACCCACCCACACCCACACCCACACCCCACACCCACACCCACACCCACCCACACCCACACGCCCAATTGACTTTCCGCCTTTCTTTTATCTTTATGTACTATTTTCTTTTTAATGATAAAAAAATCACAAGTGTTTTGAATGGCTAAACGATCGCTGACTCATTATCGTAGAAAAGTATATGTAAACAGAATATGAATCATGTCATATAGGTATGGGTTTTTTTCTTGACTAACTCTATTTCATTTCATGATGACTCATCCTTTGTTAATTGTATCCCGATTAACGCCCATTAGATGCAAAATTTTCGAACCCGAACCAATCTGACAAATTCGACTATCAGTTCTTCTGATTGAAATTATGTCTCAATTCATTGCCGATAAAAAACGTAATCCAATGGATCAATTACGCTAGTTGAAGAATATGGTTCGTATGCAGTCATTTACAGTGAAATATGACACATTAATGAGACCATATTCCTCCGTCAATACAGAGCCAATTATACTGAGAATGTTATAACGACGTAATATGGCATAAAAACAGCTCTTTGTGGTAATTAGTGGTGATCCATAATATTACCAAATAATACAAAAAAACGACTTGTGTGCCTTTCGTCAAGTTGATGCATCATGGTCAAAAAGAAACGTCGCACAGAGATAGAAAACATTTCATTTTGTAGAAAATTATTTGCTGTATCATTCTAGATGATTGAAATAGAATTGTAATTACAAATTCTATAACCTGAAAAACTTAGTTTGGGGATTTTTTCAAAGATTCTATCTTTTAGGAAACTAACAATCGATTTCATTTTCAAAAATTCTTGTTGGAAGTAAAATTTTCTACTCGAATCATTATTTTAATTTTTCTTAGCGTTGATAGCAACTGCCAAAAATATGTTCAATTTCATCATAGATATATATGAACATTACGTTTACAAAGAACAAGAAAAACATGTGTGCATAAAACAAGTTTACTTGAACATAGACAATCTTTGCACCGTCATTCATTTATGATTTTATCTATCCCATATTACTTATATATTGATGATTTTTATAATTAAGGACGTCTTCATTATGTGATGATTCATGAAAGACACTTGATAACA